GAAAAAAAAAAAAAAAAAAAAAAAAAAAAAAGCACTGCTAAGGCCTGGTAATCCACTCACACACATATTCAGGTACATCAATAAGGGTGCATGTGTGTGTGTGTGCGTGTGTATTGCATGCTTCTAGACATACTCCAGAAAGGAAGAATAGGTAGATTTATTACAGATTGTCCTGATTCGGTCTGGAATAAAGTCTACCACCAGTTATAGAGTCTTTACTGGGAAAGTAGGAAGAATCCCTAATCATCCCTGAAAAGGCATAATCCAAAGTTGGCCGAAGAGGCAATGTTGGCACCAACCCAGGTGTTAGGTAGGGTGACACAAAACCAGATAGTCCTCTTCCTGGAGAAGAATATGCCAGCCGTAATGGACTGATACCTAATCTAGGATGTAAGTTGTAGAGACCGGAATCACCTCCATAAGGAGCAGATGTGGTTTGAAGAGGAGAGAAAGCTGATTTATTAGCTAGAGTTCTAAAACCAATTCCAGCTAGACTAAAATTCGAAGCTCTCTGAAAGGCTGTATTTTCCAATTCTCTTGTGCTTACTAGGTCTCTGGGGTCTGGCTTGTATTCTTTCCCATTTAAAACCTGTTCAATGGCTTGGACCACATCCCCTTTGCAGAACTGTAGAATGTCTTCTAGCTGGCTGCGCCTGTAACTTGGGAAAATCTTGGTAAGGATATCAAGAGGGTCTCTCGGTCTTGAGGACACTGTGGGAAGGCTGGCTCTGGTAGCAGCAAAGTCTTTGGCCCATTCACTTTCATTTCCTGATTCCAGATCAGAAGATGATAAAGATCTGGGACTCTCTTCACCTCCTGATTGTTCTTCAGGGTGAGGAGACAGGATGCTACCATGCTTGTTTGAGTATTCTAAAATAGACGATCTGATGCTTTGTTTCCCAGTGACACCATTAGACGTAGGAGATGATACCAGAGAAAGTTGATGGGATTTGGAAAGCGGTTCTTCTTGTCCACTCTGGCATGAGTCACACTCACTCTCTTTTTGTTCTAGAGAGGACAAAAAGAAAAAAAAATCAAATATAGGGAAAACTTACCAAAACATAGCACTACCCACTCAAAAATAATGCTGGACAAAATAACCCACTTACTCATAAAATATTAGGAATATTTATTCATTCTAAGGCATTTTAATGAATAATTCAAATTTAAAAGATCATTCAGAAATGCAAGTACTAGAATAGTGGTGAAAAAATTCTATTTCTTATGTCATTTCAGAATCACAAAGATATACAGTATAAAAATGTGGTAGTATTTAGGACTCAGAAAATGAGAGTCTATTTTTACCCAAAAGTGTTAACATAACACCAATATTGCACACTGTTTGCCCCATAGTGGTGGTTTGGGAATTTCCTAAATGTCCCCTAAGTTTTATTGTTACTTAAGTGAGTTTTTCCCCACTATGACACTATGTAAAAAGAACTAAATAAAGTGATTAGGTTTAGATAAGAAAACAAACAAATGAAATAAAATAAAATCTTAGTTTGAAAATGAATATTCTGGGCTGGCCCCGTGGCGCACTCAGGAGATTGCGGCACTTGGGTGTGCAGCGGCACTCCCGCCGCAGGTTCAGATCCTATATAGGGATGGCCCGCGCACTCACTGGCTGAGCG